TATCATTATTATTATTATTATAGTTATTCAGGTTCTGTGAGTTCTGCGCAGAGCTCAGACCGCCCTCCACACGGGGGCGCTGAGGCACTGACGCACAGAGCTGTTTCCGGGTGCGGTGTTCAGTGTCACAGATGCACAAACTTTAACTTTGTGTTTTTACAAATCTGTGTGCGGTGTGCGCGCTCAGACAGAGGAGGAGAGAGGAGGACCAGAGGAGGACCAGAGGAGGACCAGAGGAGGACCAGAGGAGGACCAGAGGAGGACCAGAGGAGGACCAGAGGAGGACCAGAGGAGGACCGCAGGAGGAGAGAGGCCAAGATGAAGTGAGTTTGTTTGTAGCATTAGCATTAGCATGTGGAGGATGCTGCACGAGAGAGTGTGTCACAGGAAATACAATAATAACACAATACTGAGTCTGTAGACCCAGTACCGAGGCTGTAGACCCTAGACCCAGTACCGAGGCTGTAGACCCTAGACCCAGTACCGAGGCTGTAGACCCAGGACCGAGTCTGTAGACCCTAGACCCAGTACCGAGGCTGTAGACCCAGGACCGAGTCTGTAGACCCTAGACCCAGTACCGAGGCTGTAGACCCAGGACCGAGGCTGTAGACCCTAGACCCAGTACCGAGGCTGTAGACCCAGGACCGAGTCTGTAGACCCTAGACCCAGTACCGAGGCTGTAGACCCAGGACTGAGGCTGTAGACCCAGGACTGAGGCTGTAGACCCAGGACTGAGGCTGTAGACCCAGGACTGAGGCTGTAGACCCAGGACTGAGGCTGTAGACCCAGGACTGAGGCTGTAGACCCAGGACTGAGGCTGTAGACCCAGGACCGAGGCTGTAGACCCAGGACCGAGGCTGTAGACCCAGGACCGAGGCTGTAGACCCAGGACCGAGGCTGTAGACCCAGGACTGAGGCTGTAGACCCAGGACCGAGGCTGTAGACCCAGGACCGAGGCTGTAGACCCAGGACCGAGGCTGTAGACCCAGGACTGAGGCTGTAGACCCAGGACTGAGGCTGTAGACCCAGGACCGAGGCTGTAGACCCAGGACCGAGGCTGTAGACCCAGGACCGAGGCTGTAGACCCAGGACCGAGGCTGTAGACCCAGGACCGAGGCTGTAGACCCAGGACTGAGGCTGTAGACCCAGGACTGAGGCTGTAGACCCAGGACCGAGGCTGTAGACCCAGGACCGAGGCTGTAGACCCAGGACCGAGGCTGTAGACCCAGGACTGAGGCTGTAGACCCAGGACTGAGACTGTAGACCCAGGACTGAGGCTGTAGACCCAGGACTGAGGCTGTAGACCCAGGACCGAGGCTGTAGACCCAGGACCGAGGCTGTAGACCCAGGACTGAGGCTGTAGACCCAGGACTGAGGCTGTAGACCCAGGACTGAGGCTGTAGACCCAGGACTGAGGCTGTAGACCCAGGACCGAGGCTGTAGACCCAGGACTGAGGCTGTAGACCCAGGACTGAGGCTGTAGACCCAGGACTGAGGCTGTAGACCCAGGACTGAGACTGTAGACCCAGGACTGAGGCTGTAGACCCAGGACTGAGGCTGTAGACCCAGGACCGAGGCTGTAGACCCAGGACCGAGGCTGTAGACCCAGGACTGAGGCTGTAGACCCAGGACTGAGGCTGTAGACCCAGGACTGAGGCTGTAGACCCAGGACTGAGGCTGTAGACCCAGGACCGAGGCTGTAGACCCAGGACTGAGGCTGTAGACCCAGGACTGAGGCTGTAGACCCAGGACTGAGGCTGTAGACCCAGGACTGAGGCTGTAGACCCAGGACCGAGGCTGTAGACCCAGGACCGAGGCTGTAGACCCAGGACTGAGGCTGTAGACCCAGGACTGAGGCTGTAGACCCAGGACTGAGGCTGTAGACCCAGGACTGAGGCTGTAGACCCAGGACCGAGGCTGTAGACCCAGGACCGAGGCTGTAGACCCAGGACTGAGGCTGTAGACCCAGGACCGAGGCTGTAGACCCAGGACTGAGGCTGTAGACCCAGGACTGAGGCTGTAGACCCAGGACCGAGGCTGAGTAACCAGTTCTTGTGAAAGTTGTAAACAAAAGCTCCTCAATAGTTTCTCAGTGGTCTCCTGTTCGGGCTCTTGCGCCCCCTGCTGTCCTGTCTGAGCAGTGCAGTCTAACTGGGTCTAAAACATACTTGCTTCTTCTTTATCACACAGTGTATTTGAGTACAGAGTAATTATCTTGTGCTGTGTGCTCCTCATTGATACCGCTCTGTACCTGACGTTGCAACACTGACATTTCCCTGTGATACCAGTAAAGCTCTCTGCTGCAGGTTGAACATCGATGGTTTGCTCGTCTACTTCCCGTACGACTACATCTACCCAGAGCAGTACTCCTACATGCTGGAGCTGAAGAGGACGCTGGACGCCAAGGTACGCACCCGACCCACTGGTACCACACCTGACACACTGGTACCACACCTGACCCACTGGTACCACACCTGACACACTGGTACCACACCCGACCCACTGGTACCACACCTGACACACTGGTACCACACCTGACCCACTGGTACCACACCTGACACACTGGTACCACACCCGACCCACTGGTACCACACCTGACCCACTGGTACCACACCTGACCCACTGGTACCACACCTGACCCACTGGTACCACACCTGACCCACTGGTACCACACCTGACCCACTGGTACCCGACCCACTGGTACCACACCTGACCCACTGGTACCCGACCCACTGGTACCACACCTGACCCACTGGTACCCGACCCACTGGTACCACACCTGACCCACTGGTACCTGACCCACTGGTACCCGACCCACTGGTACCACACCCGACCCACTGGTACCCGACCTACTGGTACCATACCCGACCCACTGGTACCACACCTGACCCACTGGTACTACACCCGACCCACTGGTACCACACCTGACCCACTGGTACCACACCTGACCCACTGGTACCCGACCCACTGGTACCACACCCGACCCACTGGTACCACACCTGACCCACTGGTACCTGACCCACTGGTACCCGACCCACTGGTACCACACCCGACCCACTGGTACCCGACCTACTGGTACCACACCCGACCCACTGGTACCACACCTGACCCACTGGTACTACACCTGACCCAATGGTACCACACATGACCCACTGGTACTACACCTGACCCACTGGTACCTAACCCACTGGTACCACACCTGACCCACTGGTACCCGACCCACTGGTACCACACCCGACCCACTGGTACCTGACCCACTGGTACCTGACCCACTGGTACCCGACCCACTGGTACCACACCCACTGGTACCCGACCTACTGGTACCACACCTGACCCACTGGTACCTGACCCACTGGTACCACACCTGACCCACTGGTACCACACCTGACCAACTGGTACCACACCTGACCCCCTGGTACCGCACCTGACCCCCTGGTACCGCACCTGACCCCCTGGTACCACACCTGACCCACTGGTACCTAACCCACTGGTACCACACCTGACCCACTGGTACCCGACCCACTGGTACCACACCCGACCCACTGGTACCTGACCCACTGGTACCTGACCCACTGGTACCCGACCCACTGGTACCACACCCACTGGTACCCGACCTACTGGTACCACACCTGACCCACTGGTACCACACCTGACCCACTGGTACCACACCTGACCAACTGGTACCACACCTGACCCACTGGTACCACACCTGACCCCCTGGTACCGCACCTGACCCCCTGGTACCACACCTGACCCACTGGTACCACACCTGACCCCCTGGTACCGCACCTGACCCCCTGGTACCGCACCTGACCCCCTGGTACCACACCTGACCCACTGATACTGACTTATAACCTCCTCCTTCACAACAGCACCAGTTTGTGTCTTTGATCTGCCGTTTCTTTCAGGGCCACGGTGTTCTGGAGATGCCCTCAGGGACCGGAAAGACCATCTCTCTCCTCTCACTGATTGTTGCATATCAAAGGGTCAGTGTCTTTGATCTGTGCGTATCAAAGGGTCAGTGTCTTTGATCTGTGCGTATCAAAGGGTCAGGGTCTTTGCTCTGTGTGTATCAAAGGGTCAGGGTCTTTGATCTGTCTGTATCAAAGGGTCAGTGTCTTTGATCTGTGTGTATCAAAGGGTCAGTGTCTTTGATCTGTGTGTATCAAAGGGTCAGTGTCTTTGATCTGTGTGTATCAAAGGGTCAGGGTCTTTGATCTGTGTGTATCAAAGGGTCAGTGTCTTTGATCTGTGTGTATCAAAGGGTCAGTGTCTTTGATCTGTGCGTATCAAAGGGTCAGGGTCTTTGATCTGTGTGTATCAAAGGGTCAGTGTCTTTGATCTGTGTGTATCAAAGGGTCAGGGTCTTTGATCTGTGTGTATCAAAGGGTCAGTGTCTTTGATCTGTGTGTATCAAAGGGTCAGTGTCTTTGATCTGTGTGTATCAAAGGGTCAGTGTCTTTGATCTGTGTGTATCAAAGGGTCAGGGTCTTTGATCTGTGTGTATCAAAGGGTCAGTGTTTTTGATCTGTGTGTATCAAAGGGTCAGTGTCTTTGATCTGTGTGTATCAAAGGGTCAGTGTCTTTGATCTGTGTGTATCAAAGGGTCAGGGTCTTTGATCTGTGCGTATCAAAGGGTCAGGGTCTTTGATCTGTGTGTATCAAAGGGTCAGTGTCTTTGATCTGTGTGTATCAAAGGGTCAGTGTCTTTGATCTGTGTGTATCAAAGGGTCAGTGTCTTTGATCTGTGCGTATCAAAGGGTCAGTGTCTTTGATCCGTGCGTATCAAAGGGTCAGTGTCTTTGATTTGTGCATATCAAAGGGTCAGTGTCTTTGATCTGTGTGTATCAAAGGGTCAGTGTCTTTGATCTGTGTGTATCAAAGGGTCAGTGTCTTTGATCTGTGCGTATCAAAGGGTCAGTGTCTTTGATCTGTGCGTATCAAAGGGTCAGGGTCTTTGATCTGTCTGTATCAAAGGGTGAGGGTCTGTAGTTTTGGACACATTGTTGCAGATTCTCTTTGATGTGTTTGTTTTTCAGGCCTTTCCTCTGGAGGTGACCAAGCTCATCTACTGCTCCAGGACGGTCCCAGAGATCGAGAAGGTGAGTGACCTTTGAACCCGCCGTCCTCTACATCCATGGTCCTGTGTATGGTCCTGTGTATGGTCCTGTGTATGGTCCTGTTGATGGTTCTGTTGATGGTTCTGATCATGGTCCTGTTGATGGTTCTGTTGATGGTCCTGTTGATGGTCCTGTGGATGGTTCTGTTGATGGTTCTGATCATGGTTCTGTTGATGATTCTGATCATGGTCCTGTTGATGGTTCTGTGGATGGTTCTGTTGATGGTTCTGTTGATGGTCCTGTGGATGGTTCTGTTGATGGTCCTGTGGATGGTTCTGTTGATGGTTCTGTTGATGGTTCTGTTGATGGTCCTGTGGATGGTTCTGTGGATGGTTCTGTGGATGGTTCTGTGGATGGTTCTGTGGATGGTTCTGTTGATGGTTCTGTTGATGGTTCTGTTGATGGTTCTGTTGCAGGTCGTGGAGGAACTGCGGAAGTTGATGGAGTTTTACAGCAAACAAACAGGAGAGACCAACAACTTCTTGGCTCTGGCGCTGTCCTCCAGAAAGAACCTCTGTATCCACCCAGAGGTGAGGACTGAGGCCGTACTGTAGACCCAGGACTGAGGCCGTACTGTAGACCCAGGACTGAGGCCGTACTGTAGACCCAGGACTGAGGCCGTACTGTAGACCCAGGACTGAGGCCGTACTGTAGACCCAGGACTGAGGCCGTACTGTAGACCCAGGACTGAGGCCGTACTGTAGACCCAGGACTGAGGCCGTAGACCCAGGACTGAGGCTGTGTTGATGGTGTCTGTGTTGATGGTGTCTGCTGGTCCCAGGTCAGCGCCCTTCGCTTCGGTAAAGAGGTGGATAACAAGTGCCACAGTCTGACGGCCTCCTACATCAGAGCCCAGCGCCACAACAACCCCAACCAGGCCACCTGCCGCTTCTACGAGGTCAGTGCTCCCCCTTCAGGAGGAACATGGAACTGTCGTTGCTCCCCCTGCAGGAGGAACATGGTACTGTCTGTGCTCCCCCTGCAGGAGGAACATGGTACTGTCTGTGCTTCCCCTGCAGGAGGAACATGGTACTGTCTGTGCTCCCCCTGCAGGAGGAACATGGTACTGTCTGTGCTCCCCCTGCAGGAGGAACATGGTACTGTCTGTGCTCCCCCTGCAGGAGGAACATGGTACTGTCTGTGCTTCCCCTGCAGGAGGAACATGGTACTGTCTGTGCTCCCCCTGCAGGAGGAACATGGTACTGTCTGTGCTCCCCCTGCAGGAGGAACATGGAACTGTCTGTGCTCCCCCTGCAGGAGGAACATGGTACTGTCTGTACTCCCCCTGCAGGAGGAACATGGAACTGTCTGTACTCCCCCTGCAGGAGGAACATGGAACTGTCTGTACTCCCCCTGCAGGAGGAACATGGAACTGTCTGTGCTCCCCCTGCAGGAGGAACATGGTACTGTCTGTGCTCCCCCTGCAGGAGGAACATGGTACTGTCTGTGCTCCCCCTGCAGGAGGAGCATGGAACTGTCTGTGCTCCCCCTGCAGGAGGAACATGGAACTGTCTGTGCTCCCCCTGCAGGAGGAACATGGTACTGTCTGTGCTCCCCCTGCAGGAGGAACATGGTACTGTCTGTGCTCCCCCTGCAGGAGGAACATGGTACTGTCTGTACTCCCCCTGCAGGAGGAACATGGAACTGTCTGTACTCCCCCTGCAGGAGGAACATGGAACTGTCTGTACTCCCCCTGCAGGAGGAACATGGAACTGTCTGTGCTCCCCCTGCAGGAGGAACATGGTACTGTCTGTGCTCCCCCTGCAGGAGGAACATGGTACTGTCTGTGCTCCCCCTGCAGGAGGAGCATGGAACTGTCTGTGCTCCCCCTGCAGGAGGAACATGGTACTGTCTGTGCTCCCCCTGCAGGAGGAACATGGTACTGTCTGTGCTCCCCCTGCAGGAGGTACTGCACCTGTGTTTCCACTGCTGTCTGTCTGCTGATGTGTACCCAAGATGCATCGGGAAATCAGTGATAGTTTTGATAAGCTGTTTTCTACAGTTGTTTACGATGTGTTTTACGGCTCAGACTGAATTATAATCATTAACATACACATACATGCACTCTCACTGCACTACTATCTGTAACTGTATCTCTAACTGTAACTTATGTGGTCTGTGCTGGTCTGTGCTGGTCTGTGTCTGTCTGTGTCTGTCTGTGCTGGTCTGTGCTGGTCTGTGTCTGTCTGTGCTGGTCTGTGTCTGTCTGTGCTGGTCTGTGCTGGTCTGTGTGTGTTGCAGGAGTTTGACGCAGTAGGCCGGCAGGTGCCTCTTCTCGCTGGGGTCTACAACCTCGACGACCTGAAGGAACACGGACGCAGGAAAGGACACTGCCCCTACTACACGGCTCGCTACGCGGTAGGACTGAGGCGGTAGGGCTAGGGCTGAGGCTTTAGGGCTGAGGCTGTAGGGCTGAGTCTGTAGGGCTGAGTCTGTAGGGCTGAGTCTGTAGGGCTGAGTCTGTAGGGCTGAGTCTGTAGGGCTGAGTCTGTAGGGCTGAGTCTGTAGGGCTGAGTCTGTAGGGCTGAGTCTGTAGGCTAACAGCCCAGTCTTTGTCTGCAACATATCTGTTGCAGATCTCTGAGCTCTAAAGAGTAAAGTCTGGACCTTCTCTCTCTGAGTGTGTTTGATTTGATTGTTCAGCTTGTTGTGTTCTATATAAATAAATGTCCTTCTCTGTCGTCTCTAGATCCTCCACGCCAACATCGTGGTCTACAGCTACCACTACCTCCTGGACCCCAAGATCGCAGACCTGGTCTCCAAGGAACTGGCCAAGAAGTCTGTGGTGGTGTTCGACGAGGCCCACAATATAGGTGACATCACTCCCATGATGCAACACACCTGACATCACTCCCATGATGCAACACACCTGGTGGAGCTGTATCATGTTGACCTCCTGTTGAGCGCCCTCTGCTGGTGGAGCTGTATCATGTTGACCTCCTGTTGAGCGCCCTCTGCTGGTGGAGCTGTATCATGTTGACCTGCTGTTGAGCGCCCTCTGCTGGTGGAGCTGTATCATATTGACCTCCTGTTGAGCGCCCTCTGCTGGTGGAGCTGTATCATGTTGACCTCCTGTTGGCGCCCTCTGCTGGTGGAGCTGTATCATGTTGACCTGCTGTTGGCGCCCTCTGCTGGTGGAGCTGTATCATGTTGACCTCCTGTTGGCGCCCTCTGCTGGTGGAGCTGTATCATATTGACCTCCTGTTGAGCGCCCTCTGCTGGTGGAGCTGTATCATGTTGACCTGCTGTTGAGCGCCCTCTGCTGGTGGAGCTGTATCATATTGACCTCCTGTTGGCGCCCTCTGCTGGTGGAGCTGTATCATGTTGACCTCCTGTTGGCGCCCTCTGCTGGTGGAGCTGTATCATGTTGACCTGCTGTTGAGCGCCCTCTGCTGGTGGAGCTGTATCATATTGACCTCCTGTTGAGCGCCCTCTGCTGGTGGAGGTGTGTCATGTTGACCTCCTGTTGAGCGCCCTCTGCTGGTGGAGCTGTATCATATTGACCTCCTGTTGAGCGCCCTCTGCTGGTGGAGCTGTATCATGTTGACCTGCTGTTGGCGCCCTCTGCTGGTGGAGCTGTATCATGTTGACCTCCTGTTGAGCGCCCTCTGCTGGTGGAGCTGTATCATATTGACCTCCTGTTGAGCGCCCTCTGCTGGTGGAGCTGTATCATGTTGACCTCCTGTTGAGCGCCCTCTGCTGGTGGAGCTGTATCATGTTGACCTCCTGTTGAGCGCCCTCTGCTGGTGGAGCTGTATCATGTTGACCTCCTGTTGGCGCCCTCTGCTGGTGGAGCTGTATCATGTTGACCTCCTGTTGGCGCCCTCTGCTGGTGGAGCTGTATCATGTTGACCTCCTGTTGAGCGCCCTCTGCTGGTGGAGCTGTATCATGTTGACCTGCTGTTGAGCGCCCTCTGCTGGTGGAGCTGTATCATGTTGACCTGCTGTTGAGCGCCCTCTGCTGGTGGAGCTGTATCATGTTGACCTGCTGTTGGCGCCCTCTGCTGGTGGAGCTGTATCATGTTGACCTGCTGTTGGCGCCCTCTGCTGGTGGAGCTGTATCATGTTGACCTCCTGTTGGCGCCCTCTGCTGGTGGAGCTGTATCATGTTAACCTCCTGTTGAGCGCCCTCTGCTGGTGGAGCTGTATCATGTCAGTAAATGTTCTCTTCTTCTTCTTCAGACAACGTTTGCATCGACTCCATGAGTGTGAACATCACCCGCAGGACCTTGGACCGCTGCCAGACCAACGTGGACACACTGCACTCCACCATCCAGAAGTGAGTCTCTCTGGGTCCAACTGCTTTAGGACTGGTTTTCATCTGGTCCTGGTCTTTGATGGAAGTCCTCTGTCCCTGTCTCCCTCTGTCTCCCTCTGTCTCTCTCTGTTTCTCTCTCTGTGTCTCCCCCTGTGTCCCCCTGTCTCTCTGTCTCAGTATAAAGGACACAGACGCAGCTCGCCTCACAGAGGAGTACAGACGGATGGTGGAGGGTCTGAAGGAGGCGAATGTGGCCCGAGAGACAGACGTGTACATGTCAAACCCTGTGCTCCCCGACGAGATACTCAAAGGTACGCTGTCCCTGTGACGTCCCTGTGACGTCCCTGTGATGTCCCTGTGACGTCCCTGTGACGTCCCTGTGACGTCCCTGTGATGTCCCTGTGATGTCCCTGTGATGTCAGTGTGACGTCCCTGTGATCTCCCTGTGATGTCCCTGTGATGTCCCTGTGACGTCAGTGTGATGTCACTGTGATGTCCCTGTGATGTCAGTGTGACGTCCCTGTGATCTCCCTGTGATGTCCCTGTGACGTCAGTGTGATCTCCCTGTGATGTCCCTGTGACGTCAGTGTGATGTCCCTGTGATGTCCCTGTGATGTCCCTGTGATGTCAGTGTGATGTCCCTGTGATGTCAGTGTGATGTCCCTGTGATGTCCCTGTGACGTCCCTGTGACGTCCCTGTGACGTCAGTGTGATGTCAGTGTGATGTCAGTGTGATGTCAGTGTGATGTCCCTGTGATGTCAGTGTGATGTCCCTGTGACGTCCCTTTGATGTCCCTTTGATGTCCCTGTGATGTCCCTGTGATGTCCCTGTGATGTCCCTGTGACGTCCCTGTGACGTCCCTGTGATGTCCCTGTGATGTCAGTGTGATGTCCCTGTGATGTCCCTGTGATGTCCCTGTGACGTCCCTGTGACGTCCCTGTGACGTCCCTGTGATGTCCCTGTGATGTCAGTGTGATGTCAGTGTGATGTCCCTGTGATGTCCCTGTGATGTCCCTGTGATGTCCCTGTGATGTCCCTGTGATGTCCCTGTGACGTCCCTGTGACGTCCCTGTGACGTCCCTGTGACGTCCCTGTGATGTCAGTGTGATGTCAGTGTGATGTCCCTGTGATGTCCCTGTGATGTCCCTGTGATGTCCCTGTGATGTCCCTGTGACGTCCCTGTGACGTCCCTGTGACGTCCCTGTGATGTCAGTGTGATGTCCCTGTGATGTCCCTGTGATGTCCCTGTGATGTCCCTGTGATGTCCCTGTGACGTCCCTGTGACGTCCCTGTGACGTCCCTGTGATGTCAGTGTGACGTCCCTGTGATGTCAGTGTGATGTCAGTGTGATGTCAGTGTGATGTCAGTGTGATGTCCCTGTGATGTCCCTGTGATGTCCCTGTGACGTCCCTGTGATGTCAGTGTGATGTCCCTGTGATGTCCCTGTGATGTCCCTGTGACGTCCCTGTGACGTCCCTGTGATGTCAGTGTGATGTCCTTGTGACGTCCCTGTGACGTCCCTGTGATGTCAGTGTGATGTCCTTGTGATGTCCCTGTGACGTCCCTGTGATGTCCCTGTGATGTCCCTGTGATGTCCCTGTGATGTCAGTGTGATGTCCCTGTGATGTCCCTGTGATGTCCCTGTGACGTCCCTGTGACGTCCCTGTGATGTCCCTGTGACGTCCCTGTGACGTCCCTGTGATGTCCCTGTGATGTCCCTGTGATATCCCTGTGATGTCAGTGTGATGTCAGTGTGATGTCCCTGTGATGTCAGTGTGATGTCAGTGTGATGTCCCTGTGACGTCCCTGTGATGTCCCTGTGATGTCCCTGTGATGTCCCTGTGATGTCCCTGTGATGTCAGTGTGATGTCCCTGTGACGTCCCTGTGACGTCCCTGTGACGTCAGTGTGATGTCAGTGTGACGTCCCTGTGATGTCAGTGTGATGTCAGTGTGATGTCCCTGTGACGTCCCTGTGATGTCCCTGTGACGTCCCTGTGATGTCCCTGTGATGTCCCTGTGATGTCAGTGTGACGTCCCTGTGACGTCCCTGTGATGTCCCTGTGATGTCCCTGTGATGTCAGTGTGACGTCCCTGTGATGTCAGTGTGACGTCCCTGTGACGTCCCTGTGATGTCCCTGTGATGTCAGTGTGACGTCCCTGTGATGTCCCTGTGATGTCCCTGTGATGTCCCTGTGATGTCCCTGTGACGTCCCTGTGATGTCCCTGTGATGTCCCTGTGACGTCCCTGTGACGTCCCTGTGATGTCCCTGTGATGTCCCTGTGATGTCAGTGTGATGTCCCTGTGACGTCCCTGTGATGTCCCTGTGATGTCCCTGTGATGTCCCTGTGATGTCAGTGTGACGTCCCTGTGACGTCCCTGTGACGTCCCTGTGACGTCCCTGTGACGTCCCTGTGATGTCAGTGTGACGTCCCTGTGACGTCCCTGTGACGTCCCTGTGACGTCCCTGTGACGTCCCTGTGACGTCCCTGTGATGTCCCTGTGATGTCCCTGTACAGAGGCGGTCCCTGGCTCCATCCGCACTGCAGAGCACTTTGTGTGTTTCCTGCGGCGCTTCACTGAGTACCTGAAGTCCAGACTGAGGCTGCAGCACGTGGTGCAGGAGAGCGCTCCTCAGTTCCTCAAAGACATCTTTGACAAAGTCTGCATCGACAGGAAGCCACTCAGGTACGTCCTCTGTCCTCTGTCTCTGTCCTCTGTCCTCTCTCCTCTGTCCTCTCTCCTCTGTCCTCTGTCCTATGTCTCTGTCCTCTCTCCTCTGTCCTCTCTCCTCTGTCCTCTGTCCTCTCTCCTCTGTCTCTGTCCTCTGTCCTCTCTCCTCTGTCCTCTCTCCTCTGTCCTCTGTCCTATGTCTCTGTCCTCTCTCCTCTGTCCTCTGTCCTCTGTCTCTGTCCTCTGTCTCTGTCCTCTTTCCTCTGTCCTATGTCTCTGTCCTCTCTCCTCTGTCCTCTCTCCTCTGTCCTCTGTCCTATGTCTCTGTCCTCTCTCCTCTGTCCTCTGTCCTCTGTCTCTGTCCTCTGTCTCTGTCCTCTTTCCTCTGTCCTATGTCTCTGTCCTATGTCTCTGTCCTCTCTCCTCTGTCCTCTCTCCTCTCTCCTCTCAGCAGAGATCTGATATTTAGTGAATTCCTCTGTGTCTGTCTCTTTGACCCTGACGGTGCTCAGATGCTCACACAAAAACATACTTACAAGTGTGTGTTGGTGTGTGACATGTGTGTGTTGGTGTGTGACGTGTGTGTGTTGTCTAACTTGTGTGTGTTGTGTGACCTGTGCGTTGTGTGTCAGGTTCTGTGCGGAGCGGCTGCAGTCTCTCCTGCGGACATTAGAGATCTCAGACATCGCAGACTTCTCGGCCGTCACGCTCATCTCTAACTTTGCGACTCTGGTCAGCACCTACAGCCAAGGTCGGGGAACCAATCAAATCGCTCCTGTCAGCACGGAGCGATCCCATTGGTCCAAACAAAGGTCATGTTTAAGGATGTGTTTGTTTTGTTCAGGATTCACCATCATCATCGAGCCGTTTGAAGACCGCACCCCGACGATCGCCAACCCAGTGCTGCACTTCAGGTCTCTCCTCCTCCTCCTCCTCCTCCTTCTCCTCCTCCTTCTCCTTCTCCTCCTTCTTCTCCTTCTCCTCCTCCTTCTCCTTCTCCTTCTTCTCCTTCTCCTCCTTCTCCTCCTTCTCCTCCTCCTTCTCCTTCTCCTCCTTCTTCTCCTTCTCCTCCTCCTTCTCCTTCTCCTCCTTCTCCTCCTCCTCCTCCTCCTTCTCCTTCTCCTCCTTCTTCTCCTTCTCCTCCTTCTTCTCCTCCTCCTCGTCCTCCTCGTCCTCCTCCTCGTCCTCTCCTTTCTTCTGTTGAGGTTCTCTAACTGGCCTCAGCTCATCTTTGACTTCAGTTGCACCTCCTCCTCTTCCTCTGCTCCTCCTCCCTTCCACCTCCTCTGACTCTTCTTTGTGACCTCAGCTGCATGGATCCCTCCATCGCCATCAAACCAGTTTTCCAGAGGTTTCAGTCGGTCATCATCACCTCAGGGGTAAGCTCACACCTCCTCTCACCTCCTCACACCTCCTCACACCTCCTGACACCTCCTCTCACCTCCTCACACCTCCTCACACCTCCTCACACCTCCTCTCACCTCCTCACACCTCCTCACACCTCCTCACACCTCCTCACACCTCCTCTCACCTCCTCACACCTCCTCACACCTCCTCTCACCTCCTCTCACCTCCTCACACCTCCTCACACCTCCTCACACCTCCTCTCACCTCCTCACACCTCCTCACACCTCCTGACACCTCCTCTCACCTCCTCACACCTCCTCACACCTCCTCTCACCTCCTCACACCTCCTCACACCTCCTCACACCTCCTCTCACCTCCTCACACCTCCTCACACCTCCTCACACCTCCTCTCACCTCCTCACACCTCCTCACACCTCCTGACACCTCCTCTCACCTCCTCTCACCTCCTCACACCTCCTCACACCTCCTCTCACCTCCTCACACCTCCTCACACCTCCTCACACCTCCTCACACCTCCTCTCACCTCGTCTCACCTCCTCACACCTCCTCTCACCTCCTCACACCTCCTCACACCTCCTCACACCTCCTCACACCTCCTCTCACCTCGTCTCACCTCCTCACACCTCCTCACACCTCCTCACACCTCCTCATCACCAGGATGTAACCAGAATAATGTCCTAGTTCAATTTAAATTGATAGTTCCCAACAGTGCAAACAGTTCCTTATGCAATTTATACACCACCTCTACCCTACTCTACCCTACCCTACTCTACTCTACTCTGCTCTACTCTACTCTAGCCTACTCTACCCTGCCCTACTCTGCCCTGCCCTACTCTACCCTGCCCTACTCTGCTCTACCCTACTCTACCCTGCCCTACTCTGCCCTGCCCTACTCTACCCTGCCCTACTCTACCCTGCCCTACTCTGCCCTGCCCTACTCTACCCTGCCCTACTCTGCCCTACCCTACTCTGCCCTGCCCTACTCTGCTCTACCCTACTCTGCCCTGCCCTACTCTGCCCTGCCCTACTCTACCCTGCCCTACTCTGCCCTGCCCTACTCTGCCCTGCCCTACTCTGCCCTGCCCTACTCTACCCTGCCCTACTCTGCTCTACCCTACTCTGCTCTACCCTACTCTACCCTGCCCTACTCTGCTCTACCCTACTCTGCCCTGCCCTACTCTGCCCTGCCCTACTCTGCCCTGCCCTACTCTGCCCTGCCCTACTCTACCCTGCCCTACTCTGCTCTACCCTACTCTACCCTGCCCTACTCTGCTCTACCCTACTCTACTCTACCCTACTCTGCTCTACCCTACTCTACTCTACCCTACTCTACTCTACCCTACTCTACTCTACTCTACTCTACTCTACTCTACTCGGCCCCAAACCAGGACCAAGAGGGACTAAAGAAGGACCTGGTTCTGGTTACACAGGACCAGAGGGATTGGGCTTTTTTTCGAGTAGTTCCTGAATCCACTTTACACCTGGTTCATGTTTTCAAATGTGTAGAACAAGAAAGTGCTCAGGTGTGAAGTTGCTCTCTCTCCACAGACGCTCTCTCCTCTGGACATCTATCCACGGATTCTGGACTTCCGACCCGTTACCATGGCGTCCTTCACCATGACACTGGCCCGGACCTGTCTCTGTCCCCTGGTACTGTCTCTGTCCCCTGGTACTGTCTCTGTCCCCTGGTACAGTCTCTGTCCCCTGGTACTGTCTCTGTCCCCTGATACAGTCTCTGTCCCCTGGTACAGTCTCTGTCCCCTGGTACTGTCTCTGTCCCCTGATACAGTCTCTGTCCCCTGGTACTGTCTCTGTCCCCTGGTACTGTCTCTGTCCCCTGGTACTGTCTCTGTCCCCTGGTACTGTCTCTGTCCCCTGGTACTGTCTCTGTCCCCTGGTACAGTCTCTGTCCCCTGGTACTGTCTCTGTCCCCTGGTACTGTCTATGTCCCCTGGTACAGTCTCTGTCCCCTGGTACAGTCTCTGTCCCCTGGTACTGTCTCTGTCCCCTGGTACTGTCTCTGTCCCCTGGTACTGTCTCTGTCCCCTGGTACTGTCTCTGTCCCCTGGTACTGTCTATGTCCCCTGGTACAGTCTCTGTCCCCTGGTACAGTCTCTGTCCCCTGGTACAGTCTCTGTCCCCTGGTACAGTCTCTGTCCCCTGGTACACAGTCTCTGTCCCCTGGTACTGTCTCTGTCCCCTGGTACTGTCTCTGTCCCCTGGTACTGTCTCTGCCCCCTGGTACTGTCTCGGTCCCCTGGTACCGTATGTCCCCTGGTACCGTCGCTCTCACCTGGTACCGTCCCTCACCTATGAAGGCTGTGTACCTGTTTCTATATCATCCTATCCTCCGGTTAGTCCTAGTCCTTTCTGTGTGGAGTTTGCATGTTCTCCCCGTGTCAACCTAGGTTTCCTCCAGGTGCTCCGGTTTCCCCTACCTCTAAAAATCATAAATAATCACAGTAAAGTAAAAATCCTTCAGTTGTAGCACAGATGAACAAAACTGTCAGAGAAGTCTGTCTCACATTTTCAGGAAGACTGTCCAGATGACCTGTCTCTCTGATGCTGTGTTGCAGATTGTGGGTCGAGGGAATGACCAGGTGGCTCTGAGCTCCAAGTTTGAGACGCGAGAAGACATAGGTACGTCCGTGTCTCACCCCCACCTCTCCTCTGAAAAAGTCTGTCTCACCCCCACCTGTCCTCTGAAAAAATCTGTCTCACCCCCACCTCTCCACTGAAAGTCTGTCTCACCCCCACCTCTCCACTGAAAGTCTGTCTCACCCCCACCTCTCCACTGAAAGTCTGTCTCACCCCCACCTGTCCTCTGAAAAAGTCTGTCTCACCCCCACCTCTCCACTGAAAAAGTCTGTCTCACCCCCACCTGTCCTCTGAAGAAATCTGTCTCACCCCCACCTCTCCACTGAAAAAGTCTGTCTCACCCCCACCTGTCCTCTGAAAAAATCTGTCTCACCCCCACCTCTCCACTGAAAAAATCTGTCTCACCCCCACCTCTCCACTGAAAAAGTCTGTCTCACCCCCACCTCTCCACTGAAAGTCTGTCTCACCCCCACCTCTCCACTGAAAGTCTGTCTCACCCCCACCTCTCCTCTGAAAAAACTGTCTCACCCCCACCTCTCCACTGAAAAAGTCTGTCTCACCCCCACCTCTCCACTGAAAGTCTGTCTCACCCCCACCTCTCCACTGAAAGTCTGTCTCACCCCCACCTCTCCACTGAAAGTCTGTCTCACCCCCACCTCTCAGATGTAAAAGTCTGTCTCACCCCCACCACTCAGAGGAAAAAGTCTGTCTCACCCCCACCTCTCAGATGTAAAAGTCTGTCTCACCCCCACCACTCAGAGGAAAAAGTCTGTCTCACCCCCACCTCTCCACTGAAAGTCTGTCTCACCCCCACCTCTCCACTGAAAGTCTGTCTCACCCCCACCTCTCCACTGAAAGTCTGTCTCACCCCCACCACTCAGAGGAAAAAGTCTGTCTCACCCCCACCTCTCAGATGTAAAAGTCTGTCTCACCCCCACCTCTCAGAGGAAAAAGTCTGTCTCACCCCCACCTCTCAGATGAAAAAGTCTGTCTCACCCCCACCTCTCAGATGAAAAAGTCTGTCTCCCCCCACCTCTCCCAGGGTTAGGGTTAGTAAATCATTTTCGTTGAAGTGAAATAAATCCCGACGTTCAGAGTTCACAGGGTTCACAGGGTTCACAGGGTTTACAGGGTTCAGAGTTCACAGAGTTCACAGGGTTCAGAGTTCTGTTGTTTACAGCGGTCATTCGTAACTACGGCAACCTGCTGCTGGAGATGTCCGCCATCGTCCCGGACGGCATCGTGGCCTTCTTCACCAGCTACATCTACATGGAGAACATCGTGGCCTCCTGGTACGAGCAGGTGAGTCCTGGTCCCTCTTGTCTCACTGGTCCTCGTGTCTCTCTAGTATCTCTGTCCCCTGGTCCTCTGGTCCCCCTGGTTCCCTGTCCTGATACCTGGTCCCTCTGGTCCTCTGTCCTGATTCCTGGTCCCTCTGGTCCTCTGGTCCTCTGTCCTGATTCCTGGTCCTTGTGCAGACCAT